ACCAGTTCTTTTCTCTAAGAATTAAAAATATTTATTGCACAATTTCATATGTGCATACAATGTATCTTAGTCATATACACACCTAACTCCCCTATCCACTCTCTCTAGACCCCCACACCCTTTCTACCTTATGTATCCCCCCTTTTTAATACTCCATGGAGCTCAGTTAGTTCTGCCTGCATGTGCATGGGTATGAAGCCATCCACTGGAGAGTATGCAACCTGCCAGTAGTCACACCCCTTCCCAACTGCCAATAACTCTTCAACTAAGAGTGAGGCCTCATGATCCCCTCTCCCATCCATGATGGAATGTTGAATGTCTCCATCTTGTGCAGGTAACCCACAGCTGCTTCGAGTTTTTGAAAGCATATCATCCAGGCATGTTATGTGCAGAAGAAACTTTTCACAGCACACCCCCACCCCATCCTCCAGCTCTTACACTCTTTCCACCCAGTCTTCTGCCGGATCCCTGATCCCTGCAGAGGTGATAAAGAGAAGTGTGATACAGATGACCCGTTTCTGACAGTCATTTATCCTCAGCTGACCAGTTATGAGTCTCTGCATTAATTTTGACCCACTGTAAAAAGAAACTTCTCTTGCCAAGGTTGAGAACAATGTATGGGTATAAACAAATATTTAGAAAGAAGTTCAACAAAATGTCTATTTAATAAACAAAAGTAGTAGCCCACTAGAGCTTATGGCCTTGCTAGCCATGGACTTTTGACAGGTTGACAGTTCCTATAGGGCAGGCCTCAAGTGCACTCAGAAATCAGCTGGTTACTCACTAACAGTCAAGCCACCACTGCTCCAGGGAGTACATCTTGGTGCCAGGTTTTATCAGTTTTTTTAGTGCACATGACTGCCTCTCAATGTGCCTCTCAACTTTTCCCCAGCTTCCACAACCACATCTTTCCCCACCTCCACCCCCCTGTTTTAATGCTACCTTGAGAGAATCACAAAACCTTGCTGGGCCAGCTTGCTGGACTACATGGGCTACAGCATTCCTTTGATCTACTGATGTAGCTGGCTGTCAATGAGGATAGTCTGGCATGACCTGTTTTGTGTGTGTGTGTGTGTGTGTGTGTGTGTGTGTGTGTGTGTGTGTGTGTGTTTTAAACCTTTTATTAGTTTGTGCTGACTCCCAGTGACCTGTTTCCTTTCAAGGGCTAAAAAACCATTTGTTTTAATGAAGTGGCAGAAATCCAATTCAGAGAGCCTTAAGCTAAGATGGAGGTAGAGAAGAAAAATGTATTGGCTCTTGTGAAAATAAAACCCTAAAAGTATCGGTCTCCATTATGACTGGATTAAGTTACATCCTCAGCACTCAGTCTCTCTCTCAATCTCTCAGCTCTATTTTGGGGGCAGTAGCTGCAATTTCAGGTTATAACTCATAGTTTTATTAGCCGTGATAATGATGATGATGACAGCAGTAATCATTTTAGTCACAATTAGCAGCTCTGACTCTACTTACCTGAATTTGCAACCAAATCAATCAGCAAGTATCCTAATGCAACTTTTCATCCACCTGGCCAACGATAATACTAGCTTTCTAGTTTAACAGAAAAAAAAAATAGTAGCAAAAACCAGACAAGAGCTTATTATGTTCCTGGCACTCTGTTAAGACAGTCTCTAATGAAATCTTCTAAGACCCCAATAAGGATGGAAAGCCAGCAGATGGATCACAGCTGGGTGTGGTGGGGCGTTGCCTGTAACCCTGGTGGTTGGGAAGTAAAGACAGAAGGACCAGGAAGTCAAAGCCAAGGGTGGCTCTATGGGAGCTCAAGTCAGCCTGGGCTGAGTCAAGAGACCCTGACTCAAACAACAACAACAACAACAAAGATAATTGAAAAACAATTGAAATTAGGTTTTCTTGGCTCCAAGCCTCCACAATCCCTCTCACACAATCATTTTTAGGATCAAGAAGACAGAGCAGGAGCCATCAAGTCATATGCCTATTTGGAATATGCTATGTTTCCCTCTTATTGAAAATAGATTTGTTTTTCACAAACTGTATTTTGATTCTGATATCCTCTCTCTCCTCCTGGTTCCTCTCTACTTCCCCTCCCATCCGGATCCACCTACTTCCTGTCTCTCTTTAGAAAACAAACAAGTTTCTAAGGGATAATAATAAAATATACGGCAATAAAATAAAATATAATAAGGAAAAAAAGGAAAACTACTAATACAATGGAACAGGACAAAACAAGCAAACAGAAGGAGAGGAGCTCATTCACACACTCAGGAACCCTATAAAAACGCTAAACTGGAAGCTATAATGTATACACAAAGGACCTGGGGAGTAAGGAGAGGAAAAATATATAATAGAGTTAAAATTTAAAAAATAAGGTAATTTTAGAAAAGAAAGAAAAGGAAAACGCCCTGCCATGACTTTTTGTTTTGTTTGTTTTGGTTTTGGGTTTTACTGTGTGTATGTGGAGGTCAGAGGACACCTTGTAAGAGTTGGGTCCCTTCTTTCATGATTTGTGTCCTGGGAATGGAACTTTCCTCTTCAGACTTGGCAACAAGTGCCTTTACTCGATGAGACACCTCACTGACCTCTGTTTCTTTTCTTTTCTTTTTTTCGAGACAGGGTTTCTCAGTTGTTTTGTAGGCTGTTCTGGAACTAGCTCTTGTAGACCAGGCTGGTCTCAAACTCACAGAGACCCACCTGCCTCTGCCTCCCAAGTGCTGGAATTAAAGGTGTGTTCCACCACTGCCAGACTGACCTCTGCTTCTTATGTGGGGATTTGAGCTCTTAAGTTGTTTTATTATTATTATTAATTTACAGAAAAATTGAAAAAAAATCTCTTTTTTTTTTTCCAGTTAACTTTCAGTTTGCGTCAAGGTTATAAAAAATGTAACTTGGGCCTGGGTGGTGGTGGTGCACACCTTTAATCCCAGCATTTGGGAGGCAGAGGCAGGTGGATCTTTGTGAGTTTGAGGCCAGCCTGGTCTACAAAGTGAGTTCCAGGACAGCCAGGTTACACAGAGAAATCCTATCTCAAAACAACAAACCAAAGCAGAGAATCAAAAACCAAACAAACAAACAAAAAATGGAACCTGGGCTGACAAGTTGGCTCACATTTGTCCCCAGGCCTGACAACTTTCACACTCCCCCTGTTTCTTCCTCCAGAAATGGGACAAGAGTCTCTTATGTTTTCTGCACAAACATTGCTATAAATTTCTTTGGTTCTCTTGGTTTCTTAGTTTTATATGGAATATCTGGTTAAATGCCCCCAACTAAACACCAAAGTCTATGCTAACTTAATAACTCCATTCTCAACATTTTTTTGAATCTTCTGAAGTTCTCTAGTCCTGACTGTTTTCTATTTGTATAGAGCCCTCCCCTCCCCTGAGGATTCCTTTGGCTCTCCAGCATGCCAATCAACATTCTCCATCTTTCTCTTTCTTGATTTATTTCTTTGGTGGGTGAGTTTTCCCCTGACTCATTGTTTCACTGAAGGAACTTGTTTCCTGGTAAACTCCCAGTTGGCTGAGATTGGCCTGGATCATTTCTTTGTACCCCTCCACTGTGGGCCACAATGACACCAGCTCACTCACCCCTGCTCTGATTTAGTTCCCTGGAGATTTCCCTCATGCTTTTGTAAGCCTGCTCTACAGTTAAAGTCAGATCCGTTTTGGCATCTCCAAGTGTTTGGTAGTAGAAAGATTTTTCGAGTCATCTTGTTCATATGATCGCCCTTTTTATATGGCTTTAAAATCTAGAGACAATGAGTAGGTAGGGGTTTCAGACTCGAAGGAATGTGCTTAGAAGGGAGGAACGCTGGAGGGTGGAGGCTGGGAGAGGCACAGCTGCTGTAGAAGCACAGGGGTGTATAGGCAATGACCACCTTTGCTCTGGCAGGAGGAGACCGTGAGGGTGAGCAGGAGGGAACTATGGATGCTGTGGGTATCAGGGAATGAATGCCATGACCACAGCTTGCTTCAGGGACTTAAACCCAGAAGCACATCCTGGACAAATATGGCAGCGATGGTCCTGGGAAAAACTGGAGATGGTGGTGCATGCCTTTAATCCCAACACTCAGGAGGCAGAGGCAGCAGGATTTCTGAGTTCAAGACCAGTTTGGTCTTCATAGTGTGTTCTAGGTCAGCCAGAACTATAAAGGAAGACCCTGTTTTGAAAAAACCAAACTAGGAAAAAGAAAGAAAATCACCCGGCCAAGGGCTCTCTGTTGTGACTGAAGGTGGGAGCCAGGAACCATGGGGAGCAAAGGGGAGAAAACTTAGCTCATCCAAAAGAAATGTCAACAGCTATGCCACTCCTGGGCATCACCAACAACACTCTGAGTCTGCACCTCCCAGAGATATGCGAACATCAGTGTTTACTGCAGCACTTTCCACGGTAGCTAAGTTATAGAAACAAGCTGCATGTCTACCAACCCAGGAATGGCGTGCTTTAGATACTGCAGGATTTCTTTTTAGCCCTAAGGAAGAATGGAGTTGGGTCATCTATCGGGAAAACAGATCCACTTGGGGCTATCACGTTAAGTGGATCTCAGAAAGACAGGTATCACAGGCTTTCTCTCTCTCGTGGGGTCTTAGGTTTCATATAGCAACAAAAGGGAGGACATGAAGGGAAGGGTTGCTGGTTATCAGGAGAAAATGTGATCAGAATACATGAATATACATGGGCATGGTAATATATAAAATAAATGAATAAATGGTTCTGGGTCAAACAGGGGTGCAGGGGATGGGGGGGGGGAGAGATAAAACAAATTTAAAGAAAGTACATTGACTTGAGTCCTGGGAAGTGAATTTCAAATGTCAGAGATGAGCCGAGTTGCTTGTCCTTTCCTATTGCGGAGACCCTGCCCACAAATACCAACAGTTCATTGATTGTTTAATGAACAGTTGACTCTGTTTGCAAATAATGCTTCAGGCCACTTGATGAGTAGTCTTCAAGTTAGGGGCAGCATTTCCTAGGATACTCAGTGAGGAGGACCTACCTTATAAGTGAATGGTTTGGTTTGTTTTCCCCAGAACCCGTGGGCATGGCTGATTTTGGAGCAGATGAGCCCTCCTCCAAGTCGGACAGTCCTGAGCCAGAGGGCAGTGGCTCTGAGGACAGATCACTGCTCCATCAGAGGCTGGCTATCAGAGAGCTCATCGACACAGAGGTCTCCTACTTGCACATGCTCCGAGTGTGTGCCTCTGACATCAGGAGCCGCCTACAGCAGGTACTGATGCAGACCCTACCATCTACTTCATAGGAGCAGGTGCGGGCGGCCTCCAAGGTCTCTCATTGTTCCTGTGTGGGCTTGTTGAAAAGGCCCCTTGGTGGGTGGGAGCCTGACCAGCTTTAGTTATTGGCCATGAGACATTCAGCAAGGCCTTGAATGACTTAGATGTGTCTAACTTGTAGCCTATTGGCAATACAAAGCCAAAGATAGCTGTGAATATAGCACAACATAAAATAGTAAACTTACTTAAAACAGTATAAAAATATCATTGTTGTATTCTTTTGTTACTCGGTTTTATGGTTTATTTTTTTTTAAGATTTATTTGTATGCCTATGAGTGTGTGCTATGTTCATGACTGCCCTTTGTTTGCCTGGTGCCTGAGAAGGCCAGAAAGGATGTGGGAATCCCAGGAGCCAGAGTTGCAGATGGTTGTGAGCTCCATGTGGCCGCTGGGAGCTTGGGTCCTCTGCAAGAGGAGAAAGTGTTGAATTAAATGAGCTATTGGATAGGCAAAAAAGGAGAAATAAGCAGGCTGTAAATATTGAAGTCAGCTTCCGAGAACCTATTTCTTCTAGCAAGGCATACCTCCTAAAGGTCCCATAACCTTTCCAAATAATGCCCCCAATTGGGGAAGTGTTTAAACACATAAGCCTATGGGAACAAATCACATTCAAATCACAACACACTAACCCCTGCCTACCTGCAACCCCCACCCACCGACCCCAGAGCCATGCTGGACTTGATGTCTCCTTTTCTTGTAGACTAATGAGGAGACCTAAGTCACAAGAGTCTCAAATCTTTACAAACATTTCTTTGGATAGTCAGCCTTTCCAAGAGCAGTAGGACCCTAGGCAGCATTAATGCTCAGGGCTGTTCCCTATCAGATCTCCAGCCTTTTGTGTTGCTTCCAGCTGCCACCAAGAGATCTGGACATCCTGTTCTCGAACATTGATGACATCATCCAAGTGAGTGGCAGATTCCTTCAGGGGTTGCAGGAGACAGCCTGCAGAGAAGAGGAACAAACGTACCTGATTGGTAAGCAGAAGTCCTGTGCTAATGCCCTTGCTTTCTCTTGGCTTTGTCCTCTGCTTGTGCTCCAGAGCTCCAGAGAAATGTAGCAAAGGGGAGTTGGGCTTGTCAGAGGCACCAGGGCCCTGGTAGAGTAAGCTTGTAAGACATGAACTTGGGAGGGTGTGTTGAAACCACAGTGCCTCCTAGTTTAGTCTCAACACCGTACTGATTTAGTTTTATCTTTTATAAACATCAGTGTTTTTGCCTGCATGCATGTTTTTGCACCACTTGAGTATCTGGTGTCTGCTGGGTCCAGAAGGCATTAAATCATCTGGAACTGGAGTTGCAGGTGGTTGTGAGCCCTCATGTGGGTGCTGAGAATTGAATCCAGTTCTCTAGAAGAGTAGTAATTGCTCTTGACTGCTGAGCCATCTCTTTAACCCCTAATTTTTCTTAATTAATAGATTTTTTTTAAAGCACTGTTAGGCCTATAGAAAACATTCTTGTTTTGCCTGCATGTATGTCTGTGTGAAGATATTGAATACCCTGAAACTGGAGTTACAGACAGGTGTGACCTGCCATGTGGGTGCTGGGAATTGAACCCTGGTCCTCTGGAAGAACAGTCACTGCTTTTAACCACTGAGCCAACTCCCTAGCAACACCCCCACCAGAACCTTATTTTTGGTAAAGCTGTCTTCTCTGTCTCTTATCCCATTCTACCTGCTCCCTGTAAGTAACTGGCTTCATATTTAAAGACCCAGAACACTTTAGGATATTGCACCAGGTCTGTTTCCTCTTCTCCGTGCTCTTCTACCTTTGCTGTAGGCACTCTTGAAGTGAAGCTGACGGACGTGAAGCCCCCAGCTCAAACTACTTCCACAGCTTCCTGCCACCATTGGGAAACAAGCAGGGTGCCTGGCTGCACCCCACTTACTCTGATGCCCCATGCAAGTTGGCTCTAGAGTCCCATTTGTCCCCTCCCCTTCATGCCTCTGCTCCAGACAGCAGGGTCTGTGGCTGTCCTCAGGCCAGAGTTACCTGACTCTGGGCCTTGCCATCGCCATCCACAGGCTTGGGAGTTGCCCCTTCCCCGAGCTTCCTGGGGCTGGCTATGTCCGGGTAGATGGTCATATTATCTGTGGAAGCCTTCTTCAAAATAGACACCCTCCTCCCAGCCACCGCCCAGTCCTTGATGTTTATTTTCCTTCACTTTGATTCTTATAACACATAATCATCCCTTGGTATCTGTAAATGATGGTTTTCCATGACATGCCACACCCCCCCCAGGTGCTCAAGTAAGTCCCTTGTATAAAAATAACATAATATGTATTGTTCGGGGAATGATGACCATGGCAAGAAAAGTCCTCATATATTCAACACACTCTTCTTCTTTAAAGAAATGTTTGACACAATTTAACTGTAGGACAGAAGAGTGATATTTTTAAAGCATGACGAAAATAACATTTTAATTAGAAAGGGCATGACAATGTCTAATGCTCCATTAATATGTGAGGCTGTTCAACCTGCTGATCATGGGGAAATGAATACTGAAACTAGAACAGGCACACATCAATTGTTAAGATTCCTCAGCGTTCAAGAGGCAGAGGCAAACAGGTCAAAGGTTGTCAGAAGTATTCAGGGTCATTTTAAAAATTGTTGCAAGTTCTGTCCTAATTCAAAGCCAAATTTTCTAAATGAAACACGATTTGTAAAAACGAAACACAAGTCAAGTGGCAAATTTTATTTACTTATCTTGATTTTTTATTTATGTGTATGCATGTGTATCTCTGTGTGTAGATGTCACTTGTGTTCAGGTGGCCCAGAGGCCAGAAGAGGGCATTGGATTCTCAGGAACTGGGGTTACAGGTGTTTGTGAGCCACCCAATACTAATACATGTGGAATGATAGTAAAAAAATTTCACAGATCTTTGTTTTCCAGAACTAAACATTCTGTTGTTTGTTTGCTTGTTTTTGTTTTTCCTTAAGATTTACTTACTTATTATGCATACAGTGTTCCGCCTGCATATATGTCTACAGATCAGAAAAGGGCATCAGATCTCATGGATGGTTGTAAGCCACCATGTGATTGCTGGGAATTGAACTCAGGACCTCTGGAAGAGCAGGCAGTGCTCTTAACTGCTGAGCCATCTCTCTAGCCCTGATTCTCTGTCTCTTGTATATACAGTGAGGGCACTGCAGCAACTATCATGAAGTAGTCTCTAGTCTGAGCCAAGCTGTTGCAGGCAGTGTTCGCTGGAGTTGGTGATATGGGCAAAGTAGGACTGTTATGTGTTCAGAACCAAGGGTGCAGTGATGTTTCATGATGCCACACAGGTGGGTGTGCCCAGAAACACCTCAGATCCGTTATAGGGCTGCTTTAGAACTAGTCTTGGGGGTCCTGCATTTGGAAACCTTTTACTCCTCCCAAACTTTCCCAGACCCCACATTCAGGTCTGCAGCCATCCCCACCTGGGGTCATGACTTACAGTTTAAGAACCTGGCATTGGTGGCACACGTCTTTAATCCCAGAATTTGGGAGGCAGAGGCAAGTGGATCTCTGTGAGTTAGAGGCCAGCCTGGCCCACAAAGTGAGTTCCAGGACAGCAGGACAGCCCAGACTGTTAAAAAAACAAAAGCAAAAAAACCTGGACTGCTACTCACCCACACAGTGACTTTATGAAACAGATGAAAAACAGAGGCAGGAATACAGGAAGGCTAAGTTTCTTGTACATAGTGACATGCTGGCAGCCTTAGCATAGAGCGTGTCACTATGTAGGCCCTACCTACCATTCCAAGCAAAGGACATGTGTACTTGCCCTTGATAACTCTTGCTGTTTGTTTGCCATCAGGTAACTTATTTCTAGAATTCCAAGAGGAGTTTGAACAAGTCTATAAAATCTACTGTGCCAACTACGACCAGGCCCTGCTGCTGGTCAAGGAGTACCAGAAGGAGCCAGAACTACAGAAGTCCATCCAGGGCATCATCGAAGCAGCAGTGTAAGTAACACATCCAGAACAGCCAAGTCTTGACCCTGCCTGGGTCTGCTCAGGCTGCTTTAGGCCTGTGCCAGCAGCCAGGCCTCTGTCAGTCTGGAAGGCCCTACTGCCTAGCAGTGCTCACACCTCAGTGGTCTCAAACAAGGCCCACATCTTCCTTGTGTGCCTGTGCAGTCTGTTTGGAGTTTTTGTAGCTAGTGCTCTTTCCCATGCACAAGTGGTTACAAATGTATAATCTTTTTTTTTTTTTTTTTTAAATTATGTATACAGTATTCTACCTGCATGATACCCACACACCAGAAGAGGGCGCCAGATCTAATTATAGTTGGTTGTGAGCCACCATGTGATTTCTGGGAATTGAACTCAGGACCTCTGGAAGAGCAGGCAGTGCTCTTAACAGCTGAGCCATCTCTCCAGCCCACAAATATCTAATCTTATTTTTCCTCTTTTGCATGCACAAATGGTTACAAATATATAATCTTACAAATATATACTCTTATTTTCTATCTTTTACAAACACAATGGTTACAAATATCTAACCTTATTTTCCCTCCTCCTTCTTCTTCTTTCTCTCTCTCTCTCTCTGTCTCTCTCTCTCGACAGGGTTTCTTTGTGTAGCCCTGGCTGTTCTGGAATTTGCTCTGTAGACCAGGCTGGCCTCAAACTCAGAGAGATCTGCCTGTCTCTGCTTACTGAGTGCTGGGATTAAAGGTGTGCACTACCACCTGGGTAAACTTCTATCTCTTTCCTGGAGGTCCTCCCTGTTAAACACATCTCATTCCTCATCATTTGACCCTCAGCACCTCTTCCATGAAGTGGTCAAGCCTGATGGTATGACCCATGTCTGTGGGTAGACATTTTGTTTGTTTCCATTCTCTCAATATTATAAGTGGGCCACCGCCTTTTTTTCAGGATCCATAGTCATTTTATTCTGCCACAAGGTACACTTTTCAGGATTGGGATGGACAGATTGAAGGAGATATGTATGGGTAATTGCCTCCCCTGTAAAGGTGTCTGTGTATACAGTCCTGTCAGCAGTAGATGTCTGTTGTCTCCCACAGACTTTCTGGAGCAGTGTTAGGTCAGGGTTAGGTCAGGACAGGACTCATCTGTCTGACTTTATTTGGCATTTATCTTATAACAAGTTGGCCATTTTTTTGGACATTTAAGAGTCTTTTATGGATATTTTCTTGTGATTTTTTCTGTTTCCTTTCCTATATTAAAAATTTGTGGCTGGAGAGATGGCTCAGCAGTTAAGAGCACGGGTTGCTCTTCCAGAGGCCTCAAGTTCAATTCCCAGCAACCACATGGTGGCTTACAACCATCCATGATGAGATCTGGTGCTCTTTTGGCATGCAGGCACACATGCAGGCAGAACACTGTATACATAATAGATACATCTTTTAAAAATGTATGTGTGGAAAACAGACAGGCAGTGGTGTCGCACACCTTTGATCCAACACTCAGGAAGCAGAGGCAGAGGCAGGTGAATCTCTGAGTTGGAGGCCAACCTGGTCTACAGAGTGAGTTCCAGGATGGCCAGAGTTATACAGAGTAGCTCTGTCTTGAAAAAAAAAAAAACAAAAACCAAAACAAAACAAAACAAATTTCTCATTGTTTATTTGATTTCTTTATTATTGATTCCTATCTTACCTTTTGCCTTCTATCACAAATTTAATAGTTCTTTTAAAAATTTTTACATTTTTTGAGACTTTCATACTTGAGTACCGGCAAGATGTAGGACTCTCAGTTGCTTCTCCAGAACCATGTCTGCCTGCATACCTCCATGTTCCACTATGATGATAATGGACTAAACCTCTGTAAGCCAGCCAGACCTCGTTAAATGTTTTCCTTATAAGAGTTGCTGTGGTCATGGTGTCTCTTCACAGCAATAGAAACCCTAAGACAAGTCCTCTGACCACATACATGTGCTGTGGCTCACACATGCCCACATACATACATCACAAATAAATGCAAAAATATTAAAAATAGGACATTAACTTAGCTTACACTTCTGCACAATATCAGTTTAGCTGGGCTCAGCAAATAAGCCCTTTGCTCCTGGCTGAGCCTTCCTGTGTATCTGCCATCAAACGCAGGTTGGCATTGCTCATTTTGCTGGACTCCTCCAAATATCTGAGTGAGACACAGAGCCAGCTCAGGTCTGGGGATATGGCCTGTGTGCTTCTTGTAGCTGTTTTGTTCACTTGATGGCCACAGGGCTCTAGTGCAAGCGGGGAGGGCAAACCACTGGAATTCTTGGTCATTTTATAGCCTAGTCCAGAGGGGACTAGGGAAATGAAAAGCATTGGTTGAGGGGGCTTCAAAGTCACAGGAAATGCAACATTTGAAGCCATTTTCCTTGGCAAACCATCTATATATGTCACATATAGGAATGTGAGTCCCCTCTGGCCAGAGCCTCTCATGTTTCCAAAGCAGCAGAAACTTAGGTGAGACATTTCCCATGTGTTCAGTTCTGTCTAGCCTGCTAGATGCAATTACTGGATAGCAATGAGGCTGCTGTTTGTCCTGTTTCTGCAGGTCTGGAGCCATCTCACATCTCAAACCCAATTTCCTTATGGGTCTGATGGGAGCTTTAACAGCACTTGGTGGAGCATAGACACATGGCACAAGGGACACTAAATATGTCCCAGCTATTCTAGTCATCTCAGCCAGGCAGGAACTGTGTCACACTGCAGTTCTCAGTCTTGTCAGTAAGGGTATTTATTATGCTACAGTCCTGGAAAATGGACCACACACACACACACACACACACACACACACACACACACACACACACACACAAAAAAAAAGTCAATATAACAGTAACTTTGACCATCAAGGAGGAAGAAGAGGAAAACATTTTCTAGTAATGTGGGTTTCAGTGTGCATTGAGGCACCACAACTCCCGAAGCTAGGAGGAAGCACTCTAAAATTAGCTGCCTCTATGTGTAGTATTAGTTTGGAGGTCAGGAAAGAAAGTCCTGAAGCTGTTCTGCTTCAGAAGCACAAGAAAACGAAGGAGCAGAGGGCGAGTATACCCAAGGATAGCAACCCACAGGGCAGGCAGCCCTGACTTCCTTGTGTATGAGGCACTAAAGATAGTGTTGTGGTTCACCTCCAGGGAGGTAGGGAAATGAGAATGGATGATATCCTTGCAAATAGCCCGAGTCGTATGTATCAAAGGTAGTGTATAAAAAGACCAGTATTGTGTCCTATGACTTGACAATGTCTGAGAATCACAGACATATTTTGGTTCTTGAAAATACACTTTGAGGCCCTTCAGGCTCTAAGTGTTCATGTGAGGCTCCCAAGCTCTGCTCTATAGCACGGGTCTGCATGCAGGGAGTTGCCATTGTCAGTTCGCTCTCTGTTTGCTTCCAACTTGTGCCTCAAGGTGTGAGCTCTGGGCTCTTCCTGCTGCCATGCCCTTGTTCCGCCACCACGGATTCTACTCTACACCTACTGTAAGCCCTGAATCAAATTTCTTGCTCTGTAAGTTGCCTTGGTCATGGTGTTTTATCACAGTAGGAGAAAAGTAAGACGGCCCTTGAGATTCCCTGTGATTTCAGAGTGGGTACCGACACCTTCACCTTCAATTGGATTAGCAGTCGGAATAACCTTCTTTAGGACAGAAATAGACCAGGCAGGGAGCTCTGTGTTGGGAAGGACCTTTTGCAGAGTGGTGTGGGAAAGGAGGCTTGCTTGGCAGAGGTGGATCAGCCCTGGAAGCCAAAGTTTTAGGAGCCTGCCTGGCACAGCAGTGTTTGCACAAGGAAAACAACCTCTATTTTCCCTTATCAGCTTACTTTAAATATAAAAGTAATATTCAAACCATACTCAAATCCATGAAGTCCATTCTCCATTGGCTGAGGGGTACCATCTTCTGTTCAGTTTCCTTCTGTATAGTTACAGAAGGAAACAGAGGCAGGCAGAGAAGCAGACAGGAGGTGGTGGTGTTTCTAAAGAGCATTTTATGCTATTCAAGAACTTTCATTTAACTGTAGCTGTGAATATTGTCTCATGACAGTGTGAGTAATTCCTTCCAGGACAACTCACAGACTCTATTCACCCATTCTTTTATTAATTTTGTTGTTGTTGTTTGGAGATGGGGTTTCTCTGAACCTTTTGGAGCCTGTCCTGGAACTCGCTCTGTAGACCCGGCTGGCCTCAAACTCACAGAGATCCACTTGTCTCTGCTTCCCGAGTGCTGGGATTAAAGGCACGTGCCACCACCGCCTGGCTGATGGATTTTTTTCTCAAAGAATACTTTTTGAATTAATTTATTTTTTACATTCCAATCCCAGTTCCCCCTCCCTCCACTCCTCCTACTCTTCCCACTTCCCATCTGCTCCATGGAGAGGGCAAGGCCTCCCCTAGGAAGTCTACTAAGTCTGTCCCATCATCTCCTTGAGGCAGGACCAAGGCACCCCTCCACCCCCACATCCCTGTGTCTAGGCTGAGCAAGGTATCTCTCTGATGGATTTTTTTTTTTTTTTTTTAAATCATGGACTTGCTGATGTCTATCCTAGTTTGCTTGTGCCAAGGTTTCTGTGGGTAGATGTTGTCTAGGCTGAGGTTGGTGGAGCAAAGAATTTGTGTATTTCGAAAATTGCCCAGCTGTCCAAGATCTCAGCCAGTGACAATCCCCAGAGACTGTAAGACGCTCTCTCTTATCACTCCCCCCCCCCCCCGCCCTGCCTCCCAGGCTACCATTCTGTTCTTATCGTCTATGTGAGAGGCCGCATACAGTTTTCTTCCGAGTTCCTTTAAGAAGGCTACAGATGTGAGTGGCTTCCATCATTTTGCACTGGCTGCTTGGTAACATTGAAAAAAAAAAAAAAAAAAAAGAACACAGTCATCTCTTTCAGGGCCCCTGGCCTCTGATTTGTGCTGTGGTGACAGTTGTCCCTGGGAGGCAGCTGGCTCTTTCTCATGGAATGTCAGTCAGCCTAGAATGGAGTTTCCAAAATGCCTGCCCACAGTTATCTGAGCTCAGGACACCCTTGGGGAGAGCAGATGGACAGAGAGGGCACAGTGTCAGGGCTCCCACCTGCCATGTCTATTCTTAGCCTCTGAGCAGTTTCTTTCCCTTAGGAAGGAGCCGAGGGCTCCATTATAGGGTGCTGGCCGCCTAGGAGCATTTTCAAGTCTTGTAGGAGCCACAAAGAGAAGGTTAGGGGCTGGAATTCTACGCACCTTCAGGGGTCGCTCCCCAGTTGCTCTTGACCTGGGGAGCCCTGATGAAACTCCAGACACCCAGCAGTCAGAGTCTGTTGTTCACCCAAGTGTGAAAGCCCCACCCCCACCCCCCAGTGCTTTTCAAAGAACATTTTCTAATAAAAATTCCAAACTTACAGAAACCAAGGGTGATTCGGTGAATATTCTCACACCTACCACTTTAAATGAGAAAGAGCATATCAGTAGCTTTATTTTTATGCTAAACTATTTAAATGAAGTTCTGGTTTTACCCCATATACTCTAAAAATTATGTTCCCATGGTTTTCAAAGCATTTTTAGATTAAAATTTTTACACTTATTACTTATATTTATATAGTGCATGAGCATGTGTGTGTGTGTGCATGTGTGTGCGTGTGTGCATGTGTGTGTGCTTGTGTGTGCGTGTGTGTGCACGTGTGCGCGTGTGTGTGCATGTGTGTGTGTCTCTGTGTGTGTGCGCATGTATGTATGTGGTGACCAGAAGACAACTTGGGGGAATCAGTTCTCTTTTCTACCATGTGAGCTTTGGAGCTTGAACTCAGGTCCTCTGACTCAGAGGTAAACACAGTTACCTGCTGAGCCACCCACTGGCTCTCAAACCTTTTAAGAGCAACAACCTATTTTGTTGAGTAAAATATCAAGTGGATGACCTCTGGGAGTTGTTCTTGGGACATTATCTGACAAGAGATAAGAAGTCACAGTTGAGGGCAGTTGAGTATATGAGTCTGGGGCCCTGGAGAGGAGACAGAGATGGAAATGGGGGCTTGGGGGTATATTGAAGGCTATAGGACCACATGAGGTCATCAAGGGAGCATGTGGAGAGAGGTCCCCAGAATGCTCTAACAGACACTGGACACGGGGGCCAAGGAAGAGGGTGTGGTCAGCCATGTTTGCTATTGAGATTGTGAATACAGCTGATAGTGCGCTGGATTTTGTACAGACTGGGAGCCAAAGCTCAGGAATGACTCTGTCTGTCTAATATCTAGACTCTGTAAGTTACAGAAAGGACCCTGATAACACACACTGAGCTAGTGACAGAGCTGGGCCTCCCAGTCCCCTAAAGGATGGTTTTTACCTGCCTAACAGCAACCTTCTCCCTCAGCCCGCAGGCTGGACCTTCAGGTCTCAGTTTCTTGCTTGTAATTCCTCTGCAGAGGATTACCAAGTACCCCCTGCTGCTGCAGAAAATCCTGGAGAACACACCCCTGGATGCCAGTGCCCACCCTGTCCTTCAGAGAGCCACCTCTGCCCTCCAGGACGTGAACAACAATATCAACGAGTACAAGGCGCGAAAGGAAGTAGGTAAGGATTGTGTTTAGGGGTGTGTACGGGGCAGCATTTCTAGTTCCAAAACTCATCCTGAGATTGATTCATCTAGAATGAAAACGATGTGGGACTGGCTGGGGTGGGGTCAGCTGATGGGCTTGTCTAATATGTGTAAGGCCCTGGTTTTCTGTTTTTGTTTTGTTATGTTTATTTATTTATTTCTCTGTGTAACAGCCCTAGCTGCCCTGGAACTAGCTCTGTAGATCAGGCTGGCCTTGAACTCACAGAGATTGCCTACCTCTACCTTCCAAGTGCTGGGACTAAAGGTGTGCACCACCACCACCTGGCAAGACCCTGGCTTTAATCCCTATCACAGCTGGAGGTAAAGTGGTGTGTATAAAGTGAGGTGCATTCACCTCTTGAGTTGCTGTACTAGAAAGGTTTGCAAAATGAAGCAGCAACCATGGGTCAAGAAGTGCAGCTGCCCACTAAGAGCATGATAATGAAAATTTAGCTCATGTTGATTTCTTTTAAAAAGCATCTTTTTTTTTTTTTTATTTTGTGTGGATGTGTGGATGTTTTGCCTACAGTATGTCTGAACACTACATACTTGCCTTGGAGGCCTAAAGAAGGTGTCAGGTTCTCTGGAAGCAGAGTTACAGGTGGTTGTGAGCCACCGTGCATGTGCTGGGAACCAAGCGGAGGTCCTTTGGAGGAATAGCCAGTGCTCTTCTCTCTAGCCCTCTAACCCTCACATTTCCTTTTAAAATAATTACCTTACATTCACAAATATCTGTGGGACAGAGTGTGATACTTCCATGAACATATATAAATCCAGCATTTGTTTGTTTTTAGTTTTTCTCCTGCTTAGCCTTGGTTGTCCTGGGACTCACCCTGTAGACCACACTGGCCTCAAACTCAGAGATCTGCCTGCCTCTGCCTCCCAAGTGCTGGGATTAAAGGTGTGTGCTAACACCCCCCCCCTTAAGTATATGGTTTTTAAGGCTAATTCTGCTATCCTTTTTATTTCAGTATCTTATTTGATCCTTGCAACTGCTGAGGTCAGCCCAATTAGTCCCACTTCTGGGCTGGGTGAACAGTGTGTAGAATTTGCTTGTAGTCACTGGACTGTAAGAAACAGAGTTAGGTTTCAAACGTAGGCCTGAGGTCTTCATGTTTTCTTCCATGCTTGTCTTTTCATCCATGTGGAGAGGGGAGAGGTGCTGAGTGGGGAGAGGGAAATATGGTTTTGGTTTGCCTTGATAATACTGGCTGGGGAACTGCAGAAAAATGTCCCTTTACACATACTATTTTAGGTGTAAGATATCTCCCAGCAACCCTACAAGATAGGAAGGAGTCCTCACTTTACAGAAAACTGGGGCCCCACGGAGTAGTGACCTGTTAAAGCACAGCAGGCAGAACACTCTTCAGCCAGGACTCATACCTGGGACAAAGAGGACCCAAGTACTGGCTTTTCCCTGGGGCTTACCATTCTGCTAGATATAACTTGGTAGAGCAGAGTGCCAAGTCAGGAGAATGTGGGGCTGCTTGCTTCCTGGGTCAGCCTCAGTCACCTACAATGCCTTTTCTTCCATGTCATGGCAGCTTTAAAGTATACCAAGGTGGAGCAGCTGAGCCTTCGGGAGCGGCTGGCCCGCATCAACACACACACTCTTTCCAAGAAGACCACCAGACTGAGCCAGCTGCTGAAGCAGGAGGCAGGGCTAGTACCCAGGGTGAGTGTGTGCTGGTTGGGAAGATGCAGGGATGAAAGCGGGGTGAGGTACCTTAGGGAAGTGAGGCAGTGGAGTGAGGGACCACGATGAGGCACACCACTTGATTCTCAAGAGCCAGTATTGGGGGCTTCTTTGCTCATAGGAGAGCTAGGCAGTGAGCTTGGCAGAGCGCCAGTCTGAAGGGTTCCTAGTAGCTGCTCAGGCTGTGTGCATACTTCTTCCACAGCAATAGCGGTTGAGCCGCAGGGCTAAGCAGACATCCTTACCTCATTTTCACACAGAGAAGCGGAGGCTCCCAGGAAATAAAATGTCTGCCCACAGCCACACAGCTAGGAAGCGAGTGCACAGCTAGGAAGCTAGTGAGCCAGCACTCATACTCCAGTGTCTGATTCCACAGTCTGACTGCAAAGACTACCCAACCACACTGCTGTTTGCTTTTGAGACAAGGCCTTGCTATGCCATTCATCTGATCTCATCATCATCCCATCATCCTCCTGCCCCAGTCTCCTAGGGCTTACAGGCATATACCACCTTTTAACTGTCCCACTCCGCTGTAGAGCTGGACGAACCAGCTCCTGTCTTTCTGCATTCTCTGTGGAGAGGTTGTCCCCAGTGACTTCCCCAGGCACGGAATACAGTTACACACTGCCCCCATGTGGATCTTCTGACCCTCACACGATGGCTTTACTTACAGACTGAGGACAAGGAATTTGATGACCTAGAGGAGAGATTCCAGTGGGTGTCTTTGTGTGTGACAGAGCTCAAGAGCAATATGGCTGCTTACATGGATAATCTGGAGGTGAGAATCATGCAGAGTTCAAATGCCAGGCTCATAAACTGCAGGGGTACCAGCTGCAGGAACTCTGGGGGTGGGGTATCAGTCAGGAGGGCTGGCAAGAACACTGTGACCTATAGACCCCCCCCAAACTAGGGGTGAAAGGCAGCTTCTCAGCCCATTGGAGTTCTCATGGGTCAGGGTCAAAGATCCCCTAGAACTAGAATTACAGATGGTTGTGTGCCACCATGCTGGGAACTGAACCCAGGTCCTCTGCAAGAGCAGCAGGTGCTCTTAACCACTGAGCCATCTTTCCAACCCTGGCCTTCTCTCTCTCTCTCTCTCTCTCTCTCTCTCTCTCTCTCTCTCTCTCTTTCTGTCTCCCTCTCTCCCTCTCTCTCTTTCTTCTTCTTTTTTAAATGCATTGCTTTGAATAGGAGCAGTTCATTGGCTTACAGAAAGTCATGAATAGAATACAATCTGTAGGACATACACCTGGCAAAAGAATCACCCAGGGGCACACAGATAGGTGTGATGCTCACAGGTGCCAAAGGAGGAAAGAGATGTGGGCTCCAGCTCAGCAAGGCCCTTCTAATCCCCCAGGATAGGCGGGGACAGAATGGTGTAAGTGATAACTTGTAATGAGGCTGTATGTAGAGGGCCTGGAAAACTGCTTGGGAATTGGGGGTTAGGAGTATAGGAGTAAGACGGCCATGGTGGGACCTAACTACCTATCTCTGTTGGCCCCAGACTTTCCTCTGCTTCAGGCCACACGAATGGACTTTGGACATTCCAGGGGGCCCTGCGGAACAGTACTGCAGCCTAGCCAGGGACCTTCAACTCGAGGCCTTCCTGCAGTTTGTGAGTGGGATCTCTATTCCCCGCCCCCTACTCTGATAGTCAGGTGGTAGAGCTGATGCGAGTAATATTTAGAAGTCAGGCACTTATACAATTGTTGTAGCCAGTAGGAGAGGGAGTGCTATTCCTGCATGGACTGGTAAAAATAGCCCAACCGATGTGCAGCGAGCTGTACCCTGTACCAGGCGCTGTGCCCACCTTTCCCATTCTTGACCTCATTTTACCCCTCAGCACATGCTTTGGGGTGAGACACTATTAATAGCCCCATTCTGCTAATGCGAGCTCGAGGCCCAGAGAGCGCCATCTCCTGGGTCATTTACACAGATGGGGTCTGAGTCACAAAGTAGCATCCTATGCAAATCTGTTTCAAGCTCTTTATATAATAACAACACTAAGAAGTGCTAGGAATTGATAACCTTCCCTGGGCTGCACTCTGTATACAATACATACCATTCCCATCATCACACCATAAGACAAGACTTGGAGAGGTTAGTGCAGGACTTCTGAAACTTTTCCACACTGACCTTATTACCTGAGGAACTTCTATGTGACCTGGATACATAGGTATATAAAATAGGTATGCAAATTTACTGATAATAAATCATAAGGAAATTTGTTTTACAACAATTCTTGCTATACCTGTAATTTGACTATTTATTAAAGGTAAGAGCAAATCTGTGCACTAATGAGATGATGTGCATCTTGGCCTAATATTTGATACAGATATAAGATCTCTAAACACAGAACATCTTCAAATGGTAGAACATCTTCAAATGGTTTCACAGTTGAACATTTCCATTTTACAATCATCAAGGCTGAGACCATCACTTCACATAAATACACATTCCAGAAGTAATTTGGGGTCATTGCATGTTCAGAAAACTTTTACTGTTGCCAAATCTTTTTCAACACCTGTGTTCAGTCACAACCTTACATGGATTGCAATTCATAGTTTAGGCAGCCGGAGATTAGGATATGCTACAAGTTACAGCTTGTCAATGGAGGGGGCCTGGAACCCCAGCTCCCTGCCTTCACCCCCCCCCCAAGCCCCTGCCCTTAGCCACCTCTTATCCCAGCTCCCAAGCTCTGCTTTCCCTGCAGAAACAGCGACTGAAAGGCCTGGTGTGGGAACCACTATGCAGCCTGGCCAGAGCCCTGGCTGGCCCTCAGAACTTGATCAAGAAGCGTCTGGACAAACTCTTGGACTTCGAGCGAGTGGAAGAGAAACTGTTGGATGTGGGCAGTGTGACCTATGAGGAGGAGGCAGCCCGGCACACGTACCAGGCACTCAACTCCTTGTTGGTGGCTGAGCTCCCACAGTTTAACCAACTGGTCACACAATGGCTGGGCCAGATCCTCTGCACATTTGTGGTCCTCCAGAAGAGGCTTGCTGATCAGGTGCTGCGAAGGGCAGAGAGCAGCATGGCCCTGGTAAGGCAACTGGGACTAAGGCTGCTGTAGACCATAGTCAGGCAAGGCCCTAGCTGTTGACAGGTCAGAAATGGAGATAGAATGGGCTAAGTAGGCTGCTGGGACCCAGGACCCAGTGGAGACCCTGGAGATGTCTCTCATGCCTTTTCTCCCTCCCCCAGTAGAGACAGAGGCCAGGCTGGATCTGGGGACTCAGGAGCTAAGGAGGTGTCTCTGAGAAAACAGCAGCAGACCCATCCCTGGAGGATATGACCAGACAGTGACAGAGACAGGAGTCTCTTGTATCTAGTCAGGAATAGATGTGTTCAGCTGGGATTCCTACCGGTACTGCTAGCAGCCATTTCCTGGCGAGCACATGTTGTATGCCTCGCTCAGTCCTTAAAGCAATCCTATTCAGTATGTGGTCCTTTCATAATAAAAAAGCCAAGGCCCAGAGAGGGAAGTGGCTTGTGCAAAGATGCACAACCGACCGTGGTTTTGATCCCAGACTGTGCAGTGACAGAACTCTGCACACAGTGCTCAGGTCTTTCAGAAGGAACTCATGCTGAAGACATGTGTGGACCTCAGAGAGCTCTACACAAGCCACCATGTGCAAACATGCGGCGGAGAATTTAGAGGACTGAGCTGGTACATGAGAGAATTGGGGGTGGTTCCACAGCTTGCTCTGTAATGTCTACTTTGGAGCCGAGTGGCTCATGAGTCAGGCCCTGGGAGCCATCTCCATGCTCTTCACTCCAATGTTGCCTTTTGCATTTCCCTGTCATCTGACTCCCTACCCCCTACTCTCCCTCATCCCTCTTCCTATCTCCTTACCTCCCCACTCCAGCCAACTTTCCGATCTATGTCCCTCCCTCCAAATCACTGCTTGAGTGTCTCTATCTACAAGCTCTTCAGCTTGGAACTACCTCAGCTGGCCCCCAGGCCTCTCTCAATGTCTGCCGAATGATGACAGATGAACCAGTCTTTCCAGGAAGCACTCAGAATCCTTGTGGCTCTGGGGGAGTGGGAACTATCTCCTCCTCACCCTCACTTGTGCACCAGCAGAATTTAGGATACATTACTGCTTGGTGCTTACCAGAGCCTGCCTTCTGCTGGAGTGGTGGGTAGCCATGTTCTCCCTCAGTGGGGGTCTGGGGCAAGGATTTGAGCTGCTCCTCTTCTGGCCCTCAGTATTTAATACAGGGTTCTGCCTCAGGCATACTTTTTGAATTGAGGTAGGCCTGATGCTATGTAAAAAGAAGAGTGAATCTGATTGGATAATCCTTTTACTGCCCTCCAGCTCCTCCCTTTTCTGTCAGTCTGCAGTGTGGGTGGGCAGGGTTAGGGATTCTAGTGGGGAGAGGTTTGTAGCCAAAGGAAGTGTGTGTGTGTGGTGAGGGTTGAGATATGGGGAGCAATGTGGTGTCCCCTGATTGGTTTGTGCTGTGGATGACCAGGGTCTACCTAGGATTGCTGCTAGTCCTCCCTTGAATGTATCCAGTGGGTCATTCACCTGGTCTCACTCCTGTGGTCCAAGGCCAGCATGGCAAACACAGTCTTCTCTACGTAGCCCAGGAGAGAGGCTCTGCATTTCAAGTAAAAGAGGGGAGTCTGGCAATAACCCAGAGGGCTGGACATGCTGTTGGCTGTCTCCCTCTTGAGCTGTCTGATGAGAATGTGGGAGAGACTTAACGGTTTGGGGACCTCATGGGAGAGCTCAGAACTCCTTGGGTTATAAACAATATAAGCCAGGCCAAATTAGCTGGGGTATAGAGAACAGAATGACCTGATCCCAGGAGGGGTCAGGGCCCAAGCCCAGCCACTTGTAGACCTGTAATGTTTGGACATTGCCTTTCTCCCCGTTCCTCTCCAGCTGGGTTGGTATTCAGGCAGGCTGTTTCTGTGTGGTAGAAGATTGAGATGGCTCTAAGCCTGTACCTTTATCCCTCGAAATCGAAGGAAGAGGAACACCGTGTCCTGAGCCTTCACACAGAAGGGGCCTGACCTAAGTCCATGGCTCTCCCTTGACAGAATCACAGTAGCTTAGGAGAAGGGATGCCAGGTCTACCAGCCAGCCGTGAGACTAACATGTCATGATGGTTGAGGTACTCCACCCCCATGGAGAGGTGTTTTCTTGACAGAAAGGGAGACAGAAAGCAGAGAAAAGCAGCAGGCAGCCGTCTGAGGCTAGAGGGTGGGTGTCAGGCACCCCTAGGCCCCTTCTCCCGCAGAGGCTGTGCTGACAGCATCTCCCCACCAGCTGCCTCATCAGCATGTCCCTGAGCCAGACTTCCGGAAGCTGCTAGAGGACACACTAGGCCAGAACAGTGGCCAGCTCCGCTCCTTTCAAGAGAACTTCGAGAAGGTGCTGCCACCCCCTACCACTCAGGTAAATGTCTCTCCCTCCCCTAATGCCAGCTGTTCTCCTGCAGGGGTAAAGCTCATTCTCTCCTTTGTCTTATTTCTTTCCCCTGTTACTCATTTCTTCTTGCTTCTCTGTGAAAACAAAACAAAACAAAGCCCATATCCCAATAAACACACACACACACACACACACACACACACACACACACACACACACACACACACAGGCTATCTCCCAATCCACTCGAATAGCATACTTAGGCAGCCTGTGCTATTGTATTTTATTTTACTTTCCATTTTTTTTTTTTTTTTTTTAAGATAGATACCTTGAGCTGGCCTTGAACTTGCTACATAGCTAGGGCTTATTACAAGGCAGCTGTGAAAAGAGAGGGTGGCTCCAGGAGTCTGGCAACATCTGGGTTTGAGAAAACTGAAAGTGCATTGAGTCACATATGAAATGTGAAATCCCAAGCCAGCACCATGACTTCCCAGAAGGGGCCAGAGGCTCCAGGAATGCAGGAAACAAGTGAAGGGCCTAGCAGAGCGGAACTGGTAAAGGCCGTCTCCAGGACTGGCAGAGGGCAGAGGGCAGCCACTTGGGAGAGGCTACCTCCTGGGGCCCTCTGTTCCACCCTCATGCCTCAGTGAGGCCAGCAGAGTTCTCACAAGGAGTCCATGGACCCTGCCGTTAGGGGGAAGGGAGGGGATAGAAACACACCGGGAACCTCCTTTCTCTTTGTCCTTAAAATCTTCCTTGTTGGAACAGCAATCTACCCTTACTGTAGAAAACAATTACAAGTCACATGAAAACAAAGCCAACAAGAAGAAACATGTGATCCCCTGGGTTGCTTTTTGTAGGGAGGGGCACCCCTCTCCCATCCTCCCTCCCTGACCCACAGACCTCTGGCTGCAGGCTTAAATGCAAGTGGAAGTAGGAAGGCCCTGGATAGGGGCTGTCCTGGTCATCTTTGAGTACCTTCTCTGGGGACTCCCAGGTGCTGCTCTACTCTGAACTAGTTCATGTTGGTTGTTTTTCACTCTTTGGCTCTTTTGGGGAGGGGGTACCACCCAGCTCCCAAGTAAATCACACACGAGGCTTATTCTTAGTGATGAATGCCTGACCTTAGCTTGGCTTGTTTCTAGCCAGCTTTTCTTTTCCTTCCTTCCTTCCTTCCTTCCTTCCTTCCTTCCTTCCTTCCTTCCTTCCTCTCTCTAATAATTTACTTTTTTGTATTTTATGTACATGAGTATTTTGCCTGCATGTATGTCTGTATGGGGTGTTGGATCCCCTGGAACAGGAGTTATAGATGATTGGGAGCTTCCATGTGGGTGCTGGGAACTGAACCTGGGCCCCCTGTTGGAGCAGCCAGGCTCTTAACCACTCAGCCATCTCTCCAGCCCCTAGCTAGCTTTTCTTATCTTAAATGATCCCGTCTACCTTTTCCCTCTGGGCTTTTCTTGTTATCTTTGTAATTCTCACTCTTAATCCCCAGGTGTAGCTGGGTGGCTGGATGGCTGGGTGGCTGGATGGCTGGGTGGCTGACCCCTGATATCCTCTCTCCTTGATTCTCCTTCTATTTATTCTCTCTGCCTTTCAGCCCTCCACCCCTGATCCCAGCTCCTGCTATTTAGCTCTTTATTAGGACCATCAGGTGTTTTAAACTGGTAAAGAATCACAGCTTCATAGAGTTAAACAATCTCAGCATAAACAGAATTCACACACCTTAAAATAATATTCTACTGCAGGTTGAGACTGGATGGGTTTGAGAGAGAAGGCACAAAGTCTTATATGCCTGTTTTTATGATTTCTAGTGGCAGTTTTTGCTGGCTTTTGAGACAGATCTCACTATGTAACCAAGGCTGGTTCCGAACTCAGAGATCCATCTGCCTCTGCCTCCCAAGCGCTGGCATTAAAGGTGTGCATCCTATTTTTGTTTTGTTTTGTTTTTCGTTTTTTGCATCCTGGTTCTTAATACTGACTCTGTATCAACACTATGGCAAGGGTCTTTGCCCAAATGTCCCTGATGGACATGGATGTCTACCTGCCTATACCCAATATCTCCCTACTCCAAAATAATCATGTGCAGTACAGTGAGTACATACATGCATACATACAGTATAAATGGAGAATATGGTAATATACTTACACATTTGGGTTCTCTCTGGTTTTACAAAAGGAGATAATCATATCTGAAGCTCTTCTTTCTTAATAATACTTTTGCTGAAAATAGTGAATGGAAAAATAAAGGGAATGCCAGGCCGTTTGGGAATGAGCTGAGATTCTCACTCCCAAATCTCTCCCTAGATAGATGGTAATTTCTGTCTGAGAAAAACTCTGCTATGTGTTCCTGCTGTGCCAGTGTATAGTGTTCTTACTGTACAAAATGCACTCTGGCTGAGCGGTGGTGGCAAATGCCTTTAATCCCATAATCCCAGCACTCAGGATGAAGAGGCAGGTGGATCTCTGTGAGTTTGAGGCCAGCCTGGTCAATAGACTGGGCTCCAATGCTACACAGAAAAACCTTGTCTTGAAAAACAAACAAACAACAACAACACAATGTACTCTGATGCCTTGCATACAGTGGGTGTCCGATACTCGTGGAGTGGAAACTCCCTGAGGCACAACTAGCTGTCCTTCATCCATGGTGTGCCAGGGGCTGTATTGGTCTCTGAAGATGGCAGATGGCTTAGGCATGGTGTACCATGAAACCCACAACCTGGTGTGGTTCGAAAACCTGGATAAGACATTTCCTGTGAAATGACTTAGCTTGGAGTTATACATAGAATTTAGGGCCCAGTCCTACCAGTTCTATAACTGAAAGATATCCACACTTCAATTAATTGGAAGTTTCTTCTAAAATGTCATTAGAAGCTGAGGGACAGCCATGTAGTAGCAGGCATGGTTATCCCCATCAGAACACACCTTTCAGGGATAGAGGTAGGGCTGGACAGGATTCCTAGCTCTCAGCTCATGTTGACACTAGCCTTGACACTTACCTCAAGCTCTGGTGTCTATGTCTGCTCTCTCAGCCACTCCTCCCAGGCTCTGAGTACCAGCTTCAGGCTCTCCTGACCAAATATGGCCCCGGGAAGCTACACCAGGTGACAAGCAACATCAATGGGACTGGGGCTCTGGACCTGACACTGCCCCGGGGCCAAATCGTGGCCCTTCTACAAAACAAGGACACTAAAGGCAACAACAGTCGCTGGTTGGTGGACACGGGAGGTATGTCAGCCTCTGGGACTCCCTCATCTCCTTTTGGGAAAGCCAGTTGCCAGACATTGGTAGGGAAGCATGGATGCTCTCATGTGCCAATCTGGCTGTGCAAATTCAGGAGGGATGAGCCAGCCCGGGGACAGATGCAGTAGCTCAGTCAGCTTACAGTGATTCAGTGGTGCTTGAAATGTTGATAAGATTCAGGGTAGCCTCTCCCATCCAGTTCCCGGGTGCTGTGCAAGCAAGACAAGCCTTAGAGAACTTACAAGCTATTGGGTGATATGATATGTGGAAGGAGCTAGAAGAGTACCATGAAAAATGTGTGCTGAGAAGGGATGCTTGGATTCCAGCCACAATCTCAGAATCTGATTTGGGCCTGGGACAGTAAGATCTCTGCTGGTCATGGCCTTGGGATGTGCCACTAAGGTCTGGGATGAAGGGAAGCTGTAATGTGAGCCGAGGATAACAGAATAGCCCAGCAGCATGTTCTAAATGTGAGGGCTGCACAGGATTACTGTGGGAGACCCACAGGCAGTTGTTTCACCGCTTCACAGTGATATGATAGTTAGTACTTTAATGTGTATTATTAAAAAAATGCAGCTAGTCCATAAGCTCATGGTTGGGTTGGTATTATTGCATGGCCTGAGGCTAATCTTTAAAAGGTAAGCCAGTTTTAAAAACTGAGTAGAGCAATGTGTGGTGGCGCATTTGGGAGTCAGAAGCAGGAGAACAACCACAAGTTCAAGGCCAACCTAGCTCTGTAGAGAGATTTAAGGACTATGCAGTGAGACCTTGTCTAAAATAATAATACATTTTAAGAAATAAATAAAATAGAAAGTGGTACAATCGAAAAAACACACCTGTGAGGGAAAATAATATGAGGAGTTTTAGAGGAAACTTCCAGGGCTTTTCTAGTTGGGTGAGCACAGGGAGCATGGAGCTTCTCTGAGCTCAGCTGCATCAGCATGAGACAGAGGTAGTGACCGTGACACAGGCGGACCTCAGATTGGCACGAAGATTATAGCCACCTGGAAAGCAGGAGGTGATGACAGCAGCTGGGCAGTGCTGGGGTAGGTGCTGGCGAGAAGGAACCCAGGACAGCATCACCAGTAGAAGGCAGGCCTGGTCCTAAGGAGAACTGGGAAAGCAGCCTTGCTCTGTGTAGCCACTTGAGGACCATGAGCAATAGTACCGCCCATTAGAAACAGCTGTCCTACCAGACCGAGGAAGAACTTCATCCTGTGGGCTGTCCCAGTGCAGAGCCTTTGGCACTGCGGATGAGCAAACGGCAGCTAGGAGCAGCTAATGCAGAGTGAGGTGGTGGGAGGGAACTCTCAGGGTTCCATTACACTGCACTATCCCGTTAATGCTGGGAAGCCAGGCACTCACATTTACTGGCTTTCCCTACCACTGAAAGGACAGGAAGCTGAGTGGCAGCCATTGAACCTTCTGCGTGTTTCCTAGGACACAGGGGATATGTGCCAGCTGGAAAACTTCAGCTATACCACCATATCATTCCCAGTGAGAAGGAGCCCAGAGGCCAGACAGGCATACATGAAGACTACTGGCTTCCAGCTCCAGAGCCCACCCAATCCTCTGTCTCCACTGTCCCAACCATGACCCAGGTGAGTCTGGGAGAGGGCTGAGGACTTGCTTCTTCTTATCTGCTTAGATTAGGGCTTGGCTTTTCCTCTGCTATTAAAGGGCCTGTTTCTTGAAAGGTCAAGCTGTGATGAGTGATAAGTTCTTATCCTCACCAGGGGTAGAACCCAGAGAGAGGGACTTCCCATGTGAACAGCAGGGATTTAACCTATCAACATTACCCCCACCAGCAGAGCAAACAGGAGTCCTCCATTCACTCAGCATTTGCCAGGTGTGGTACTAAATGAATATGGCAGTGATGGACAGGGGTCATGGTCCTGTTCAAGCTTACAACCTGGTGGGGAACAGTGATTAGATTATCAGCATGAGTGTGTGAGTAAATGCAAAGTTCCCTGCTGTGGCAAGGTCTTAGGTTCCAGGAAGAGAGAGGCCTTCCTAAGAAGAATGTGTTTGCCTCACATAGGAAGGGTACATAGAAGTTAACTGGATAAAGGGGGTCAGATGGGGTGTCTGGGGCATGAGTTCTCAGGAAGCACACTGTACATGCAGAGAGGCCCAGTGATAATCGAAAAATTGATGAAATCAGAGCCTGGGAGAAGAGAGAAGGCAGGATGTAGCAAGGTGCTCCTGGAGAAGTCTGCAGAGCTGGCCTACCAGGACCCTATGGTCCTTGAAAAAGGGCTGGAGAGATGGCTCAGAGGTTAAGAAAAAGGTGCCATTCTCCCACACAAAAGCAGTGGGGATCATAGACATGCTTGTTCATGGGAGCATTCCTTATAAGAACCCTATCACCAGGCAATGGTACTTGGGAGGCAGAGGCAGGCGAATCTCTGTGAGTTTCAGGTCAGCCTGGTCTACAGAGTGAGTTCCAGGACAGGCTCCGTAGCTACATAGAGAAACCCTGTCTTGAAAAACCAAACCAAACCAAACAAAAAACCAACCAAGCAAACAAAAAACCCCAAGTATCCATCAATATAAACAGGTAAACCAGCTATGTTGACCCCCTCAAGCAGCCTCTTGGGATGGCTTGGGAGGACTGGGTAGACCAGTAAAGCCAAGCAAGCCCTGTAGTAGACAGTCAGAGTCTGCTCTCAGCCACCCACAGCCAAGGGAGAGCTGCAAAGATGAGAGATGAGTGACAGAAAGATGGACAGGGAAGGGTGGGGTCCAGAGGTGCTGAGCACAGGTATGGGATGCTTTGGGTATGGGATGCCTTGGGTTAGGGCACTGTGCAGCTGAGAGCCAGTGTCGGGGAAGGTATACAACCCCCACCACATCTACCTTCCTCAGGGTCAGCCAGATGTAGCACACTGAAGACTACAAAGAATCCCCCCAAATCCCACTACTAGGGACCTGACCAGCCTATCCAGCCCCCATCCCCACCCCCAGTGATGGAAAGTGAGGTAGCTGCCATCATCCAATCATCCAGTTCTGGATGGAATCTCCAGAAAGCTCTGCCTAGGATCTCAGTGCTCCATTTGTTCCCTTCCCCCATTCCTGCATCCTCTGTGGGACTCCCAGGTACCTTCCCATGATGCTTATGGCTCTGAGGCTTGGGTATCATCAGTCACCCTAATGGTAAAGAGACAAAGCGAGCTACATTGATTGGGCCCTTATTCTGCAGCAGACATTCATCCATTCTGCTTCCCCAATAACCTAGAGGGTAGGCTGTTGTTGTTGACATTTGTAGGTGATGATGAGGCATAGAGAAGTTAGACAGTGGTTTGATTAATGCCCTCCCCTATTGTTTTCTCCAGTTCAATGCTTTGTCCTAAAAAGGAGCCATGTCTCCCAAACCTTACTATTTCTAAGTTAGAAGCTGGGCTGGACAGATAAACCAACTCCCTCTGGGAAGGGAGAGGCGACTGAGGATACCCACCAGTGTGGCTGCAAGGGTTCAAGTATACCTGTCCTGCTGGGCAGTGGTGGCGCACACCTTTAATCCCAACACTAGGGAGGCAGAGGCAGGTGGGGGTCTTTGAGAGTTTGAGGCTAGCCTGGTTTACAAGGCAAGTTTTAGGATAGCCAGGGCCATTACACAGAGAAAACCTGTCTCAAAAAAAAAAAAAAAAAAAAAAAAAAAAAGCTCTCCCTCTTCCCCTCCCTCCCGTTTCCTGTTCTGAATTCAGGCAGTCCTGATTTTACAGTTATATGATTGTTGTGACTGTGACTTCTCTGTGTCTCAATTTCTGAAGAAAAAAAAAGAGGGGGGCAAATACAGGGATGAAATTGTGCCAGCAGGCACAGCGTCTTTCTTTAGTGCTTGCCAGCAGGCACAGCGTCTTTAGTGCGATGCATGCTCTCGGGAAGTGATATATGACCAGTAATACAGACTAGAGTGTCCTGTGAGGGTGGGAGCGCAGGGTGACACCTGGATGGGTTAAGTTTAGCTATCTACCACCCTGACCATTTCTGTGTCACTCCCCATGTTTTAGGTGGTGGCAGCGTACCCTTTCGTGGCCAGGAGCACCCATGAACTGAGTCTACAGGCAGGCCAGCCTGTAACAATCCTAGAAGCCCAAGACAAGAAGGGGAACCCAGAATGGAGCCTGGTGGAAGTGAATGGGCAGAGGGGATATGTGCCTTCCAACTTTCTGGCCAGGATCCCGAGCCCAACCCCCTGGGGCTGGAGTCTGTCCTCTTAGCACACCCTCGGGCCCACATTCCTAAGGAGAGGGAGGGGTTTCAAGGTTGTGTGACCTAGCAGTCATGATGCAAAGCTAACTGAGGGTGAGAGGAGGGGAGGGCATCCAGAAGGCAGCAGGGAGTGGTGACGAGGCCTTACTGAATGCCTCGTGTGGGTGGCCACAGTGGGTGGCCACAGCATTATCACTCATGTCTGCATAAGGAAGCCATCTCAGTACCACAACTGATCAGCCAGGGCTTGCCACAGCTCGAAGCTGGTCCTACCTCTACCTCTTGCCTCTTTCATGAATAGGATGAATGTTGCCTGTGTGTCGGGTAGCACACGGGTGGGGGCATCACCACAGAAGAGCTACCCGCCTCAGTGGTACCCTTCCCACAGCACTGCCAGGAGCCACCATTGCTTTCTGACCGCCTTTTCTTTCTTGCCGCGTCGAGTTGAGTTACTACTATGGACAGTGAACTGTGAAAAATCCTGCTCAAATGGAAGCCATGGATCCAGGCGATTCTCTGCTGGCTCTGGGAATGGGTATGACCTACGCACAGTTCTGGAAGGTGTGTACAAAGCCACAGGTGGTTCCAGGGAAGAGGGGAACTTGAAGGAGGATCAGCGGGGTGTGTGAGGCCGATGGCAATGGGATATCCTGCTGCTGTTTTCTTTGGACGAGGAGACAATGGGACTTGGCAGTCAACCATGGCGGAAAGTCTGTGAGATAGGTGTCTACTGGCCTGGTGGGTTGAGTAGGTGAGGAATAGCTTGGTTTCCCAGTTCTGGAGGAGGAGCCGGGGAACCCAGATGGCCTAGGTTTGCTTCTGAGGGTCTGAAGGCAACAGAGAGCTGCAGTCAGGTGGATGTGGGGGCTTAGGCATAGGTTACAACGGCAGTTTCCACCTAGAAAGAACTAAGTCACAGGATACAGTAAGGATGACAGGAGACTGAGGATGCAGAGGACCCTTGTCAACCAGGAAGTGTGACACCCATGCAAATATGGTTAGTGATGTCAGGCTAGCCCAGCCATTGGCTAGCCTGGGTTAGCAGGGTGGAGCAGTCCCATAGCCACCTCTCCTCTCATGTCTATGCTAACAGTGTGTCCTTCCCTGAAACCCAGGTTCTGCCATGGGGCCCAGTCAGTATGGATTAACAACAGACACATTTTGAGACATACCCCATTACAGGATTTTGTTTTCTGTGAACACTGTGGAGTGTGCAAACTAACAAGGTTACAACATCACTAGGTGATGTAACCACATGGGACCATGACAAGCACACAGTCATTGTGTGTAGCTGTTGGTTGCATGACACACAACGGGAGTGCAGTCTAAGGAGCCAAAGTCCCAATAGTACTTGGTGAGCAAGGCATGTCTCAAATCTGGGAACAGCAGCCCCTCAAAACTAGGGCCTGTTCCAGGATGACAGACCCACTGGGGCAGTGTTGGGTGTAGTCACTACTGGGCAATGTCAAAAGTCATTAGAAGATCCCAAGACAGAGAGAAGGGTGATCCCCTGTGCTCTTTGTACGGCTGACAAATTTGGAATCAACCCTCTTGAGACAGTGTAAAACAGGTGACTATTTCAGTGTTTTCAAGACTACATCTGCTCTACAACTCAAGTGCCCATTTGTTATCTCTGGCTTCTGAAGGGCTCTTGAGAAAGGCATCCTCATCTGTGTCAGATGGTCTGTAATGTCCCTCCTCCGGGCTTGTTAAAGCAGGGATACTGTGAGGCAAGAGCAAAACTCCCCAGTCCCTTCCCAATCTCAGGTTCACCCGAGGATGCTCTCAGTTCACTTTCTGTTCCCTTCTCAGCCTCCTGGTAAAAATAGGAAGTGCAGACAGACAGGTGACACAGCGGGAACCGTACCTGCACCTGCGGCTTCCACACCTTTTTACTGCCAGCTCATTGTGTGTTGAGACTCTAGCTTTGGGTTCTTAGCATGGCTGCTCACTGCAATGACCTGGGGAACTCTAAACTGCAGCAAACCAGCAGCCCACTCAGAGTAAGCTGATGTCTTTGACCTGGCCATGGCTATGGCCTTGGGGTTCAGAAAGGTAACCGGGCGAATCTCACATGCAGCTACTATAAAGACCTCTGCCCTAGACATGCAGAGGTGAACAGCTAGATCTGGGCACAGAGGTGGGAAAGGGTAAGATAGGTTGTGTCCCAGCAGAGATTTACACTAGCTGTCAAAGCAGGAAGCGTTAGAGGCAGTTTGAAATAGGACAGCCTGTTCTGTCAGGTCCCAGAATATGTATTTATTAAGTGCCATTAAAAGGGACCTGAACAAAATTGGATGTTCTTGTAGGCATAAGGGAGAAAAATGAAATATACTTAGAACCAAGGCTATCTCATGAAGGAGAAATAAAAATGCATCCAGTACATGTGGGTTATAGTTTCTTGGACCAGGGGTGAGATTAAAAGTCACGGGAGAGTGAGAGAAGGCTTACTGGGAAGATGGAGCATGGCCTGGATTTTCTCCAGGGGACTCTGTGTAATGTGCCTTTTACCCCCAATGCCTAGAGCCATTGCACTGTGTCTTATTTATTTCACTCTTGGGCTGTCACGTGCATACTCACAAAGATAGTTGCCTAAGAATGGAACAAAACTCCCAGGAGCTGAAAGATAGTTCACATGGTATCCTTGCTCTTCAAAGTGAAGTTACTACTCATTAACCCTTTGAGATCCAACTTAGTTTAGGATACAAGGAGATTGTATTATCCAAGAGGAGACGAGTGGATTCTTGACTAACGTGATGAGCATGATGTGAACTCCTGGCAATAAAGGACTTTCTATGACTCCCGCCCTTGGCCTTACTCAATATGAAAATGGCACCTTGTTCATTCATGTGTTTATTTGAGTATCCACTGCACACCCTTGGTGCCTCTAAGATTTGGGGCATAGAGTGTGGTTATATAACAAGACTTCAAGCAGATGAGCTGTGTCATTTATGAACCTGCAGTCTGGGCAGGGAAGTAGACAAGTCAGCACTCGGTTCTGAGTATAAGTGTCAGGATAGGACAGAAGCTGGAGCCCAAGCAGGGTGTGGAGAGCTGGCATAGACTTGGTGACCAAAGAAAGCTTCCTAAATGAAGTGATATATGACCTCAGACCCAATGGGCACCCGAGCTTAGGGGGTCAGGAAGGCATAAGCAAAATCTAGAGGCAGTGGTAGATCACAGAACTGAAATACTATGAAGCCAGAATGCAGGGATGGAGGGGTGTAGCAGAGGCAGTAAAAGACCTTAGTTGGGGGCTGGAGAGATGGCTCAGAGGTTAAGAGCATTGACTGCTCTTCTAGAGGTCCTGAGTTCAATTCCCAGCAACCACACAGCAGCTCACAATCATCTATAATGAGATCTGATGCCCTCTTCCAGTTTGCAGGCATACATGAAGGCACTGTATACAGTGTGTGTGTGTGTGTGTGTGTGTGTGTGTGTGTGTGTGTGTGTGTGTTAGTCAAGCCAGCAAGGTAGAGAGGGCTGCAGTTTTTGGGAAATCACCTGGCTCTGGCTAGGTGCCTGATGTTCCCATAGATGACTACACTCTACAAGGGCAAGACATGCTACTTCCTTTCAGAACCTTCTAAGTCTCTGTCATGAGACCCAAGTTAGAGGTGTTCAATACTTAATGCATAGATAACTGTCACAGAAGGTGCAGGAACACTGAAACCCTGTCCTTATGGAATCTCCTCCTGGCTGTTGGAGTACAAGGTTGCACAGCTTTCTGGCCCTGCAGGGTTCAGTGCCATTGGAGTCAAAGGAATTTCTTGGACCAGGCTTAGAAGTGCTCAGACAAGGGGAGATTTGATAGGGCTGAGGTGGTCATGGATGGGGGTGGGAAGGGGGCTTGCTGGAAGAGATGGAAATAAATTTGGAAAGTTGTAGAGAAATTGGAAAACCAAATAGGAGAGAGGTCGTGTCCAGCTAGAAGAAGCCTGGTTCTAGGAAGCCCAGTGCGGACACATCAGGGCAGATGTGTATACAAACTCACAGAGATTGTGACAGCGTGGGCAAGACCAGAAGCATGGAGGAGGGGAATTGGGCACAAAGCCCCACTCCTAACCAAGAAGCTATTTGAAATTGCTGGCTGTCAGGAGAGAGAAAAATCAGAACCAGGCAGTGGTGGCTCATGCCTTTAATCCCAGCACTTGGGAGGCAGAGGCAGGTGGATCACTGTGAGTTCAAGGCCAGCCTGGTCTATAGAGTGAGTTCCAGGACAGCTAGGGCTACATAGTGAGACCCTGTCTCAAACCAACCAAACAAACAAACAAAAAAATTAAACAAGAATCTGAGAGATGGCTCAGCAGTTAAGGTTCTTGCATAAGACCTAAGTTTGGTGGCCAACTCCCACATAGTTGTTCACAACTGTCTGTAACCCTACTTCCAGGAAGTCTGACACCCTCTTCTGACCTCTGAGGGCACACAGGTGGTACACATATATACGCAGACAAAAGACTCACATACATGAATTAAAATAGGTAAGTTTAAAATTTTTTTAAAAGAAATGAGACAAAAAGAAAAGGTGTGAATGGTGTAGGGTATTGCAGATGTGAATTGAGGAAATGTTTGAATTGTGACCACCAGGGGGCAGCAGGGCCCTTCCGTTCATCCAGGAAGGTTTTTGGGCGGTACCTTTGGGGTCAAACTGAAATACCTCTGTCGCCCGCTATTTGGGCCAGGGAGGCAGAAAGACAGGCTGGGAGAGGGACATTAGGAAGTATGTGGGACTCATTGGATTGGAGCTTGCATACTACATCTAAAGGGCCACAGCTTCCTGGCTCCAAGCCAAGTGCTGCTACATCCGGGTGTCACTGCTGGCATCAGACTGACGGAGGTGTTGCTTGGCTTTTATTATTTTTGCTTGCTTCGTTTTGTTGTAACCCAGGCTGGCCCCACCCTTGCAGCAGTTTTCTCTCATCGGCCTCCAGGCATGAGCCGCCATGCCCAGCCTTGTCCTCCTTTTTGAATGGAAGTCTTTATGTGGTCCACAACAGTTCCACCTCTGTACCTGTGGCTGAATGTGGACTGGCTGTCCTGGGTGGAGAATCTTCTCTGAAGATATAGTTTCATGTCTTGACTTCATTGGACATAAATTTTCCTCCTTTGGGTCTCTGGGAAATGCCGTTTCCCTTCGTTGTTACTGATGTCAAATTCTGTCAGCTCCTTGGTCATATTTTACTTACCACAGGGCCACACAGGGCCATTGAGAGCTAGTGACCAAGATTCCCCGAGAAAGAGAAGGGCACACTGATAAATCCCCTTGCCCGGCACTTGGCTCATCTATGCCCAACAACGTGATTGCCATTGGGGTGATTGAAAAGAGATATGGGGAATTTGCAAAGGTTTTAGGGCCTGTCTGCCTCCCCGTATGCAGCATGGCAAGGAGGGATGGCCACATCCCTGTGTAGAAGCCCCTGTCAGTGTGCTTGTCATGAGTCCTTGGGGATCTGGGTCTCCCTGGAGCCTGAGTGGCATCTGAGCTCTTCACAGTGGCAGACTGGAGCCATCAGGATTCCCGGGTGGCTTAGGCAGAAGGAATACAGAACCTGCAGCCATGCTTGCTGAACAGCTAACTCCTGTCTTCCTCATTTCCTGCCCTGGCAGATGTGAACTACAGGAAACATTTATTTCCAAGACCCTTTTGCCCTCTGCTCAGCTGGTAAGTTGGATCTATGGGAGGTCTGGCCAGTGGGAGGAGCCAAGGTAACCCCTGTCCTTCTCTGCTTATCTGCCAGAGGGTGGTCTTTCCTGTGGTCCCATCTCATAGTCCCTAGTCACACGAAACAGGCCTGGCTATGCTTCCAGAGTCAGTTGGGTGGTTCCAAATCCTGCCTACCAGTGGGACTCTCTACTCAAGGTTCCTCAGTCCAGGTGTTCAAATGCCAAGAGTGTATCTTTTCTCTTGAGTGTATCTTTCCTCTATAAGACACAATAGAGTGGTTTCTGGTTTCTGCCTAGTCTGATCCATCACAGAAACCCAGGTTCAAGGAGAGGCTGGGTTTTCAGGATACTGAGGGCCTTCACCAGCTCTGCTGCACTGTCTAGGGCTGAGGTGTTATGAATATGGCATCATACCTCTCTACCTGGAGTTACTAAAGTGTCTTCAGCCACAGGCAGCTGAGTAACAGCTGGAGGAATCTGCTGAGCTGATCCCATCTTGGCCAGCTGAGCCTATTACCACAGGGCCCCGAGCAGACAGTCTTGAGAAGACCCATGGGCCACAGTGTCAGGGCAGAACTGTGGGTGAGGCCAAGCTCTGGAAGAAAGGGACAGGAGGAAGAAGAGTCTAAAGCCATGGTGTCTCAGGAGGGGCAGCGAGCCCCAGGTCTGAGAGAAAGGAAGTAGGGCAGACTCCACCAGAGAAGGGGCTGCTTATCTTGACTCAGGGTGTTTGGCCCCTGGGCCCATCAATGGAGAGTCAGAGTAAACCAGCATGTTAGTAGCCATAACAGTAGCTTTCCCTCATCACCCACACAGTTGTGGGGAGGTTACATGAGGGGTTCCACATTACATGATTAATCCAGGCCCTGTCACATAGAACTCTCTGAAGAACAACACTCTTAAAAAAAACAAAGTATCAAACAAACCTCAACAGCAACCATGGCAGCCAGCCACTGTGGAGTTCTTTCTGTGGGCATCCCAAGAGACAGGCATGGAGGAGATTGAGCCCTGGGCCTCTCCCCTGAGGCAGGGCCAAGCCCAAGGATACAGATCTAGTTGCCAGAGCTAGAAGGGTTGGGTCAGGGGAAAGCAGAGAGAGTGAGAGGACACTGTGACCCTTGGGCACTCTCCCCAGGGATGGGGAGCAGCAGGTGTCCAGTGGACACAGCCGCAATGGGACACTTGGGGACAGGCATCTCATGGTGTCCAAACAAGACAGAGGTCAAAACCAGGTTACAGCATGGGCAGCAGGGTTGTAGGCTTTGGGCCACAGTTCAAATAAAAGGCTATAGGGGACTGAGGCAACTTAGTGACACCACCATAATGTTGGGAGATACTACTGAGAAAGGGATAGGAGGCTGGAGTCCTACTATCAGTGCAAGGAACTTTGTGCTGGGCCCTGGATACCAGCCTGGAGCTGCCCTAAACCCTTGCATTTGGGGACAGGTTGTTTTTCAGAGCTAAGGGAGCTGACGAGGGGAAATGGTATGGGAATAAAGGAGCCACCAAGAGCCCTGGTTTCTCTCTCTCTTTCTCTCTCTCTCTGAGACAGGGTTTCTCTGTATTGCTTTGGAGACTGTCCTGGAACTCGATCTGTAGGCCACACTGGTCTTGAACTCACAGAGATCTGCCTGCCTCTGCCTCCTGAGTGCTGGGATTAAAGGTGTGCACCACCACAGCCTGTCTTTGCAAGATGCTTGTGTTCAAACCATGACTCACAGTTGGGGGCTGGGTAACCTCTTTGAAACAAGTTACTTAATCTCTTTTTAAAACTTCGTTTTGCTGAGATGTCAAAATGAAATAAAGCATGGCAGCCCTGGGCAGTGATGTCACCAAGCCCTCTCCAGCTTCCCCTCCAAGCTTCCCAGGCTCGGGACCCCACAATGTTTCAAACCTTCACCCTTTCCCCTGATGCCTCTGCCCCGACCACTCACTCTGCTAGGCTGAAATGCTGCACGAATGCTTTTAAAACTGAAAGCAAGAAGAAGTCTCCAGAGGCCAAGGGTCGTTCCCCTGGGAAGTAAGGGTGCCCTACTCTCAAATGCTCTGTGACGCATGTCAGCCATCTTGCATTGTTCCGGCCTTTGAAGGACCTCCTCAAGCTGATGACCATGCAGTTGTAGACAGTTTTGCTGTTGTG